GGAAGAGACAAGTGTGGAAAACAGTGAAGCTGAAAAGGCAATGGGTGGTAGYAGAGAGCAAGTTATGTGGACCTGTTTGAAAAAGCAAATACAGGAGAGACATGACTTGGTGTGGAAACTCCCTCTGCATYGCGGAGAGGCCAGCTGAAGCTCTGTGCTCATTTCTGGGCAGGCTGCTGCCACGTTCTTGCCAGTTAATCATATACTGTCTTGGAAAACTCAAGTGAGCAGCAGATGTAGGGATCAATTTGAGYAGAAGCAGAGAAAACAAAGATGAAAAATCAGTTAGCACTTGAGAGATTAACTGTGAGGAGTAATCTTAGTCTTGAAGCAGAAGGTCAGGATCCTTTTTGGGAACAAAAATTTAGGAGATGGATTTTTGTATTGGGCTGTCACCCAGTCTTGTACGGAACATGCTAGAAAATGTACCGCTTGGAAAAAGATGAAGAATAGAAATGGACTGTATGACGCCATGTGTTGTAGCTTATCGTATCGTATCATATCGTATCATATCGTATCACATCGTATCATATCGTATCATATTGTATCATGTCTTATCATATCATATCATGGAATAGGAATACTTGGTGACCCAATGGCTCCCTGGGCTAGGGAAGCATGGAGGGCTAGAGCCCGAGCTGCAGTGAGGGAGCAGCTCTGCCTGTGGAGCACCCTGTGCTTAGGGGCAACTTGTGCCTCTCCCCGGGGCAGCGGGACCTCGGAGGACCTCTTCCTGAGCCGTGGGGCGCTCAGCGCCGGCCGTGGCGCTCGGCAGCTCCACCCGGCTCCGGCTGCGCAGAGCCACTCACGTTGGGTGCTCCAGGGAGAGGCACCTGCAAGAGGGGCTGAGCAGTTCCTTCCATGCGTTGCCTTGGGCCGGATGCCGTAGGGTCGCCTTGTAGCTGAGGACAGTGTTTGGGGTTCCTTTCGGATCAAGGGCCAAGTGAAGGTGATAAACCAAAATGCCTGTGAGGTGTAACAAGGAGGAGAGTCCAACTCACTCAGCATTCCCTCTATATCCAGCATGGATCGCTCCCCTCCTGCACAGTGAGGGCTTCCTACCAAAGGATCAGATCTCTGCAGTACAGCTACAAACCTGGAAGTAAAAGGAGGTCACAAATATAGGGCAATTACCCRTGCCACACAGAGCAGGAAGTCTTGCACAACAGCCTCTCCCTCCTCGTTTGCTCATCTCCAAGTGTGGTTTGCTCTTGTGGTCTCTGAAAAAAAAAGGACGTATCCCAACTCATGCGGTTGTATAACAACATGGTTACTGATCACCATGGATCTGATGGTCACAGGAGGCAAAAGAAGACTACAGGATCCTCTGCAGTGCCTAGGAATGATCATTTTGTTAATAATTCTATTAATTCTGTTGTTGCTAATGTACTTTTTGATCAAGTTGGCTGTTTTCTGTTTTGTTTTGTTCTCCCTTCAGGGAGAGCAGATTTTGCTAGCGGACCATTTTATTATTCCTTGCTCCTCTCTCTGTGCTGCCTCCAAAGGGTTAGGGAAGTGAAAYGAAACGGAACAGCAACAAGGTAGGAACATGAGCAAGATCATCCATAGTCAAGTAAATCTAACCAGATGGAGCTAATGTTTCCCACCCTTGGTTCCGAGGGTGCAGGAATCAGAAACTGAGCAGCAATCAGCTGAGCAGTGATGAGCCCACCACATAGTGCTTTTTTGAGTGGCTCCTGTCTGAAACCCCAGTAACTTATTGCTTGAGAGAGAGGGAGAAACTCACACAGCATAGAATTTGCCTGAGCCTTGGGGAAACCAGAAGCTTTGTCATTCAAACCATTGTCTTTCTGTGTGACGTTCCTGGGGGAACTGACCCCACCACACGTCCTCACGGTGAAGAACCAGTGACTGCACTGCGCACCAGATTGCAGTGGCAAGGGAAATATAATAGTGTGATGTGAAGCACAAATGAATAGATACAGGATGCTGACTTCTCCTAAAATCTTGTGTCAATGTGTGCCTGCAGTAAAGTGCGTGTTTAAACTATGTAAGTACAAGTTTGTTTACAGTGTCAGATGGGAACCAAACTGAGACAAATGAGAGAGAAAGGGCATGGAGGATCCTCTGCTGTACACTTAGAGCCTGCATGGTGGGTAACAAGGCAGTGTGGGAGGAGGGCTGAAGCGCCTTCCAGTGCAACAGCAGTAAGAAGCCAACAAAGACAGGGGCTGGGCAGTGCACAGCCTGCCTCCCACTCAGGTTTGTGCAGAGCTGTGTGAGCCAAGAGGCTGGGGCTGCTGCTTCCTTCCCCTGAGTTTGATGGTGAGGGAAAATGTAGGCAACACTGTTCTCAGAAATGCCCTTTACATTAATTTGTCTTGTGGGCAAGACTGGGAACTCAGTCCTGATAAGCACATCCTAGGCAGCCACAGCACGATGACTTAAAAAGCCCCTCAACTGCTTCTTTCAAGCTCCTTCCCTTTGCACACAGCATGTTTCCTCTTCAAATTGTTTCTGATTTTTTTTTCTCTTCTTTGTTGCATTTCATTCTTCTTTTTGCCTCCTTCTGGCTCATCTCTCCCAATTGCAATCCCTGCCTTGCCTCTACCAATGCCTCCTCCTCTGTGATTCCTAGCTCAACTTTGTTTATGCAGAATGCACTGCAAACCTGACTGGCAAAGCTGTGCTCCCACCAGCTACCTCAGCTGCCAGAACCCAGAGAAATGGTCCCTGCCCACGTGTGCTCCGAGGAAGGGCCGTCTAGTAATTATAGCACCATCAAGAATCTCCCACCTCCCAAGGTAAATTCATGGCTCCATCACAGGCTTCACGGGTGGGTCTGGGTAAGTTGCCTAACACTTGTGTTCATCAAGTTCTCAACTGCAAAATACACATGAATGGAATGGCTGCAAGTTGGCAGTTTGTAGGTCTGTACATTTTAAGAAGTATGTTGCATCATCATGCAGTTTTGTGTCACTGTGAAGTTCCTCCTTCCTGCCTGCTGGCAGAGTCCCGTCAGACCTCTTCCTCCTCATGTTCCTGTCAGACATGGAGCAGTGGTCGGTCATTAAAACTCAACAGCTCTCTGCTGAAAGTGAGAAAGTTTGTTCTGGAGTGGGTCTTGGGAGAGTGTGTGCTCTTACCCAGAAGGAAGCTAAACCCACTCTGATGAAGATTATAGCCTTCGGGCCAAAAAACGGAGAGGAGGAGGAGAGAGATGTGAAGCTCCAGATAGGASATGCAACAGAGGAATATAATTCTGCATATGGTGAGAGGTCTAACATATCTACTGGTCTCTTCAAGGTTCTGGAAGAAAATTCTTCAATTGCCTCTGCCCTGAGGAGATGCAACTTCCCCTGCAGTCCTTTGTCTCACCTGACACAAAGCTAAGCTAAAAGAAGAGCTGTTGCTTTTTAGACTCTATTTTTAATGAACTGCTTCTAGAGGCCCAGCTCTGCAAAACCTGTAGATGTCTGCTGCCTCTCATTTGCCATGTAGCTCTTGAAAAGTTATACTGGGAGCAAGGAAGCCTGCACTTTTGGTGGTACATTAAAGCTGTTGTGGGTAGGAAAAGACATAGAAATAAAACAGACTGAGAGGTTATACTTTCAGGAAGGGCTGCTAGGCACAATTGCACATTCTGAGAAGGTGTTTCAAACTCTAGCGGTTCAAAGCATGGGGGTTTGGATGGGGTAGGGCAAATAAAATCAGATTGGCACATGTCTGGTGAAGAGGCCATTATCTACAAGAACTTTTCAGCCTTGACATGAGCACGGGGAGGAAGAATGCAGCTAAAGAAAATAAATAAAAAAGAAGGAAAGATATTCACTTCAGCTGTAAGATAAAGTTGGTGGCAATGAGTTATCACTGCATTTATGACTTCTAGAGTTTGTAGTGATTAGAATAATGAGATTTTAACTTCATCAAAGATCAGACCAGACCTCTCACCCAGAGAGTCTTTAGTGCAGAACTTAAAGCAAAGCTAATTTCTTCTTTAATCAAATAGCATCTTTCTTAACATCTGATCAGAGAGGAGATTTTTAAGAACAAAACTTTATGCTGCCCTCAAAAAGGTAGCATCTTCTACAGCACAAAAGAACTTTTAACCACAAATCACTTGATGCTTTTTAAAATCTCTTTTCAGTCTCAAATAAAACAYGTGTCACCTTTTACATTCTTTGTCATATTCAGCTATGATGGAAAAAGGAAATTAGTGTATACAAAAATTRCTTCCAAGTCAGAAGTGAGCCCTCAGAGAGAACTACAGAAATATTGGCTTTCTCYGCAGATTTCTTGTTGCAAGTTGGAACAGCCTCACGCTTGCTCTGCTATTTTTTCCATAAGGCTTCTTGAGTGTTTTTGCCAAATCTTTCTGTATTTATGCCGAAACTAGAATAAGAATCACCAAAGGGCCACAGAGGCTTCATCTCTCATTATATTTCAAGCAGAGCTCTCCAGCTGTTGGATGCCMTATCTAGGTTCAACCTTTCCCTTATCTAGTACTATTTTGCACAGAGGGGTATTTATCTGAATAATAAAATGCTGGGACTGATTCAGGTGATGATGTACCAGGAGCTGGATGTTGCATGCTCCATGGTCCATGGATCTGGCACTAAACCATCAAGGTGCTGAGAGTCAAGTGAAGATGAGCAATGGACCTGTGCAAGTTTTGATGTCTGTCAGCCCTGGTCAACAAAATGAGAAGAAGCTGCAGTGAGGCAGGAACTGGTTAATATTGGCTCACAGTGTGTGCCTCATTCTTGTCTTTCAACAGGAGATGCAGTCAAAACATCCTGATGAGGAGGGAGCATGGGCAGCTATCAATTGCCAGCTTTCCCAAATGTGTCCTCAGTGACACCCTTCTCCCCTTAGCCAATGATGTGTCTGAGCTACATAACATACTGTGAAGAAGTGTGTAAGATAGGCCCAAAAGAGTGGCACAGGAATCAAACAGAGCCTAACTTGGAGCAAGATAGATTAGACCTTTGGGGGCTGTATTGCACCTAGTACCTATCTAAGACAGCAATAAATGTATAAACCACATCTGCTTTCTCTTCCTCTTGGTTTTAATGTAGACGGAGAAGATTTTTTGCCATGGCCAAGAGCAGCAATCAAGTTCCAGGATTCCCAGCTCAGAGGCAGAGCCATGGTCGAACGCCTGCATAACTGAATTTGGCCCTTTGAGCTATCACTGCCACCCAGCAAGAGAGTTACGCTTAGGTATTTGGCCTAATGGTTTACTTCACTTTCTAGGGTGTCCTACAGTAAGGTTTCAGAAGTTTTAGCTGTTCTACACATTTCTTGTCCACAACTTTATCAGGTACATGCCTTTGCGTGGGTTGTACGTTTACAGAATGAAAGMTAGCACCAGCCATGGGAGGTAATGGAACCTTTTTTTTTTCTTTTACCACCTCTATAATCACAGTGGAAACATCAATTTTATCAGAGCACTAACCACCAGTATGAAACAGCATGCATCAAGATGTAGAGATCAAATCATAGCAGCAGTTCCTCACTCTTAGAAGGGAAGTGAAAGGTAAAGTGTCTGTTGCAACACGAAGTGAGCTGTGTTGGCTGTTAGCAGCAGAGTATCCTGCATCAGRACCTTCTTTCCCTGTCATCTGCTCAGAGCAACTCCCCACTCAGAGCTGGTGTTGTCTGCTGCTCCACACGGAAATTCCCAGCTGTGCTCAAGTTTCTAAAGGGACTGAGATCACTGGCTTCGGTGCATTGCAGTGACAGGTGCCCAATGCATTTAATGATTATTAAGAGCATCATTTAAATCTGTGCTTGAGTATCTTGGTGACTAATGTCTGAGCATGGAGAGGATCAGCAAAGGACTCAACCATATTCCTACACCAGGCTGCAGAAGTGGTATCACAGTGTTCCTACTGTTTAGGAACAGTAATGCTCTGTATGCAGAAGATCTGGGAAGATTTTCTTCCTTGGAGAACAATCTCTTTGGGAGTTTTACTCTGAGTTGCCTCAAATCACTGGTGAGCTAAGTGCTTAAAGCCTTTGTGTGCAGTGCATAAATGAGGGATTAGCCTGCAATCCAGCAGTGTCTGTGTGGCCTTTCTTCTCTCCTCCACCACACAATTCCCCCCCAATAGCTCCATGTTGGTGCCTTCCTCTCCCCTTGCAGTCCTTACACTCACTTCGTGTCCACACGCTCCCCTTTCCCTGCGCAGACAAATCTAAGTGGCAGTGCTGCTCCACGTGGGCAGTGCATGTGCAGGAGATGGCGAATGCCAGGCTAACACCAACACAACACACAGCCAGTCCCTGGCTAACATGTATATGACCTTTCTGCCTTGTCTGCTGACTGTCTTACTCCAGYTACAGGCCACCCCTCCTGATTTGTCCTTAGAATTGGGGAAATCACAATCCATGGACCAAAAAAACATTTTTGATTCACACAGGCTGGAAGCAATCTTCAAACTGTCCAACTGACACAGGGACTACATATTGTGGTAAAGATCCAATCCCTCCACTTCAGCATTTGTGATAATAGGTGGGAACAATGATCACACTGCCTTAAAACTGCCATAGTTAAAGAACAATTACATCATTAGGTACATAAGCACCCTTGAAACTCTTAACTTTTCGCTCTTACTCAGGCCGGGAAGGCTGCTGCTGTGGAAGCGGAGGTGATTGGGACACTCCATAGCAAGAGTAACTTGTAAAGATAATCATATAAAGAAAGAACAACTCTAAAAAGAAATCAGGTCAACGGATTCAACATGCTTAGGTTGAAATGTCAGTGCTTGGGAGTGTAGACTGATGACAAGCTTTGAGAAACTACTTTGGTAGTTATTTCAATGAGACACGAAACAGAGAGAAAGAGTGAGAGAGCAAGCAAAAACAACATTACCACAAAGGGCATGGTGTGACTACAGCATCAAAAGCAGAGAAATTATGTCAGCAACTTAATAGTTAAGTCTACTCCTCTCCTGCCTGGTGTTTTCAGCATTTCTGATATGGAAATTCAGTTGCCCTCCTCAGACTGTAAATTAGTCATAGTTCAGCAGCTAATTCTAAAGAACTTTCTTGCAATTATTTGGAAATGTTTTGAAATATTTTGTCTTCTTTGCAGTGATGTATTTTATTAAAAACAAATATCCAAATGAGCAAAATTCTGGTTCTGAATCTTTCCACCTAGCTGCTCTGTTAAGCTAAGACTCGCAATGATGTATTCTGTAAGTGTTGCAGCAATATGGACTTGTTTTCATGGATCCTCTGACCTAGATAGGACAATCTTTTGTAATAGGTACTTCTGATAACTAAATCTCCGCTGGGTAATTCCCTGCAGGGTAGACAAGAATGTGACCTTTTCACTCTATACGACATCAAAAAGGTTATGTACAATGTAAGTAATGTCTTTCCATGAGGAAAAGAATTGGAGTTGCCTGCAAAGCAGTGCCTGGGTAGTTGAGAATGGGATTAGTATTACTCTCTCTTTTTTTTTTTTTTTTTTAATTTTATTTTTCAAATCAAATTCATTTCAATTTTCTATCTTCTCGGCTAATGAAAAAACACATGACTTGGAAAACATGTTTGCTCCTGAAATTCCAAAAGCAAAGTTTTGGTTTGAAAATGTTGCTCTTACACCTCATAGGAGTTGATGTTCCTTATGAAACCCATGGAACAATGGAATGGGATTATTAATTGCCCACTTTCTCTGGTGTGATTGGTGTTTTTTTCTGAACTGATGTCTTTGGTATTTAAGCTTCCATCAAAAATCCTCCTTTTTTTGTTTGCTTATTTGTTCTAAAAAATTGTTTTCAATATTTTTGCTAGGAAAATGAGATATTTTAAATCAGCTCTTCTGAAACCAGTGACTGTCAATGAGAAGACATGCTTACTGTTGTCCACATTACTTTCTGAAAGCCAGGCCAGCTAGCAGATGGGCTSGTTCTTAGAAGCAATGCTGCAGCAAAGTAGAAGAGTGTTCTGTGGATGACTGTGCTCCTCATTCAGAAAATACAGAAAAATTTTCTCTCATGAGAAAAGATGTTCTTACATTCTTATGAGTCTGATTCTTTACCATTTTCACATGACCTGTTTCCCCTTTTTTTTAATTATCCTTCCATTTTCACATAAAATAACACTTGCTGTGGTGGAAGAAAAGTGCTGAGTTGCAAGGTTTTACAAATGCAGTTGTGTTCTGGGCTAAGGAGGAGAGCTCAACAGTGATTATGCAATCCCGAATGCTTCCCAAATGCTCTCTTCATAGCTACTACCCATTTAATGTCCTGAGTGCAGAGGCTTGTGTTTAAAACAGGTTAATTCAGTCCCAAGCTGAGTGATTGGACTTGATCTTGATGGTCTTTTCCAACCGTAATGGTTCTAGGACACAAGGTAAGATGTGGGATGGGCTGTATCTTGTGCAAGGGGATGGATGGGCTCACGTGGGAATGAGGCTGAAAAAGGGTAAAGGGGAAGCGAGTAAGTGGCGCTAAGAAAGGAATCCCGGAGAGAAACAATGAAAACAACAAGAGACGAAAAGAAGAGCCAGAAATCTAGAAAAGCAGAACATAGAAAGAGGAAGAAATAGTAAAAACAAACAACTAAATACAGAAAAAAAGGTGTTTGAGAGGGTGTAAAAAGGCAGAGGCAAACAGAAGGAGGAAACCTTGAAAGAAATAATGAGAAAAATATATTGACAATATGAGAATAGGTAACATAAATAACTTGAATGTAAATCAGTAGCTTAAATTTTGTCGTCTAAAAGAATGAAGGAGACGCTAGAGTCTGCTAGTTTTTTGAACCATGCTAAGCTGATCTACATTTATATGAAAGAACATTAAGGCAGAATGTAACAGAGGGGATCTACACATTGTATTTCTTTTAGAATAGTGCAGACGGTCTGAGTCATTCCAGAAGAAACATGTGGACTCTGGAATAAATCATATGGTGGTTTTGTTTTCCTTATCTTTCAGTATTTTCTTACTTTAATTAGTGGTGGCAGAAAACTAGCATGTGGTGAGATTTGAGAAACCACAATAACCATATTAGCTAAACAAGAGTAAATTTCCTTTTAGAGCTTAAGCCTATGAACAAAAACTAGCTACATGTGGGGGCTTCATTTACATAACATGCAGATTTTGAAATAGATGTCTTAAAAAGCAAAAAAAACGCCCTTTTTGCATGCCACTGTGTGAGGCAAAGCACAAAGCATCTGCAAGAGAGATTGTCTGGGCTTTGTAAGCTGGTGAAAAGAAGATGTGCCGCAAAGGTAAGTTGGATTAGCTATTTTATACTAACTTTGGCATTCACCCGAATGGATTTAATTCCCCACCTTCTGAAAGACTGTTATTTTTGCTGAGCATCATTGAATGAACTGCAGACCAAAAGCRTGACATGTCTAATTTAGAAAACATCTGGATACAGAAGAGAATGGGCTCTGCTTTTGTAATGAATAAGTTAAAATATCYATTAGTCTTTTAATGAACAAAACTAGCTCGTTACAGGGAAGAGATGCAGAGACCATCATGGGGCTGTAGGAAAGCYGAAGTTTCTGAAACAAATCTCTTTCTGGGAAATAGTGCTGGTAATATTTAGTTGCTTCATGGGCTTACACAGGATAATATTCTAAATGTAGGCTGTTGGCTGATAGAGGTGCTGGAGCCTATCGCCAGCACCACAGGCTTTGGCTTGGACACGTAGTACAGTTGTTATGGACACATGTAGAACAATCCTTATGGACTTGGTCGGCGAGTTTAGGTTATATCCATTTTTGTAACACAAGGGGAATTTCTATGTACGTTAATCATTATTTACTACTTACGTGACTGCCAGGGACTGTATTAGTCTTTATGTAAAGAAACCTGCTAGGTAAGATTCATCTCTTCAGCCCGTTATGAGAAAGAAAATGTGCAGTCCCACAGTGCACTCCTGTGCTAAACGTGCTGCTTTAACCACACTGGGGCTCTTGTTTCCAAACGTCRGGGCCATGAGCAAAAAGCAGTGACCTGCTTGAGGCAGCATTTGGACAGAAACAGAGTTCTCCCTGAACAGGATCTGGCCTGGCATATACAGCATGTGTTATTGCAAAAAGCATACGCAAATCTGTTTATCCACAAGAAGTGTGCTATTSCTCACAGCACTTCAGAGACAACAGAGTTAGTTACAAATGAATCTTACATTTTTCTATCCAAGAAAGTCCAGAAAAGTCCTTACGAGCCTGGTCAGAAGCCTGAATTGAGTTAGTTAGGAGATTTCCATTGCTGCATTCTGAAATGTAAACAACATCAAACAGGTAAAATAGAGTAATAGGTTTCTTTCTCTCTCTGTCTCTTTTTTTTTTTTTTTTTAAAGTCCAGTATTGCAACCTGTTAGCTTAATTTATGGGAAAAAAAAAGTAGATAACTTGCAGCTACTGGGTTTTTTTGGCTTGTTTACATCATCTTCTCTGCACTGAATCTCAACTATCTACTCGCATCAAAGGATTAGACGTAGCTAAACCATCCTCTTTATGGATTTAATCATAACGTTCTGCAGATCTGTGATGACAGGCAGTGCTTTACTTCAAAAAAAAAAAGTAAGAAGGCTGAATTATTTTTATTTTTAAAGGGAGTCAATTGAAGTTAGTCAAGTTGCAATCCAGATTGATGTCACACTTTTTTGGCTCTATATGCATAGAAAGTGATGATTCCTTTTCAGTGGTAGTAATCAAAATGTGAATGTGTTTGTCAAGCAGGGACAAACAAGACCTTCATTGCAGGATTCATGAGTATATGCATGTTACATTAGTGATTCATGCAAATGTTCAGATTTAATCGCAGCTGTAGTCAAGGACTTGGATATTACAAATAGAGGCRGCCAAAAAAATGACATGTAGCTGCTTAAATGATAATGGACACAATACTTTCTCATGYAATGATCAAGATACATTTGGTAGCTATGCAATGTTTTTGTTTCATTCACTGGCTCTGGTTTCTGGAAAGTGGGACCACACTTAAAAGAAAAAAAAAAAGCTTCTGATTTTTACTGCCGTATGCTCATTTTTGGAGAAAAATAAACACACTTGTGTGCCATCCAACATCTTGCATTGCTCGGGTTCAGCCTTCTATTAAACACAGTTTAGCTGGCTGCCTGTATTAGAGCAATCTGGTGCCTCTAGCAAATTCACAAGTTGTAACTGAATGTTCACATGCTCAATTTCTAAAATAAATATCATCTGAAGGATTTCTACTGTTCTTTTCCATTATTGCAAATATTCAAGTAATCATCAAAATCTAAACTAACAGCCTGGTTAAGAAACATTTATAACTTTCAAAATTCAGGAGTGATAAAATCAAATATTCTCCTGTGTCTTTCTAACTAACTTTAACAACAGAACTGAACAGCATGTACATAAAGCACAAATGTTTCTACCAAAGTCAAATACAGTGGCATTTTTCTTCATATGGGCCTTTGCACATTTTGTGCGAGCACTTCAGACAAGCCATTTGGATAACGTGCTCTTTGACATAAACCAGATTGTAATGCTAGGTAAATTATTCGAAAGCTAATGTCATTACATAGGCAGTCTAAAAAGTAAATGATGTGCATCCAGCTTGCATGGCTCCAGCATAGACAGAGTTAAACAATTTCCCTTACATAAAAACAGGTTATTATGATGGCATGTCAGGAGGAAGTGGTAATAATTTGAATTTAACTCTGCACTTTTAACTAATGCTGTTATTTCTTGTTTTTCTAATTAAAGTGTGCTTCTATTGAGGTTGATGGTGAATGTGCTTCAGCAGCCACAGCAGAATCACACATCCGCTTTGACCTAAGCTTCAGGCAATGCTCTGATCTGGTAAGTGCTAAAATAAAATAGGTAATCTAAAGTATGTGATGAATGTATTAAATTACACATATAAGTAGAACTGATAAGTAGGATTGACTTGCAATGATCAGAAGTTCTTGAAGTGTGCTTGGTGAGTGAGAGAGTGGTGCTTGGTGAGAGAGTGATTCTCTCTGGGTATTGAGAAGTTTTTTGCCATGTAGAAATCTCTTTATCCTGARATCTTTCTTTATCCAATGCCTTTTGCTTGTAATCTTTGTAATTATTGTCTTTTCCAAGTAATCTATTTGCAGGTAAGATTGTAGTGCAGTGCACTACATTCAGTGTAGTACAATACTCTTACTACTGAGTATTGGCATATTGCTTTCACTATGAAATGAAATATGTTGAAGTAAAGAGAAAAAAAATATTAAGCTAAAGAATAGATTACAAATCCTGTACCACCTTTAATATTCAGAACATGTGTGTTTGTATACATATGCATTGACTTCTGTTTGTACATAATATACAAGCAATACTAGAACATACATCTGTGTCTTCATGGAAATATTTTTTGATAATTAYCTAATATATTCATGTTAAATAAAACCCCAAATATGCAGATTATAAAGCTGCCTAATCAAAAACTACTGAAGAGATCTTAATCTTATATGAAAGCAAAATTATATTTATAGAAAGCAAATTTATACTTATAGGGGATCTRATTCAGCTCCTTTTGCAGCCTATGCATCTTTCTAATAACTTCAGAGAATGATGCTTCAAATTCATGAGAGCAAATCAGCTCAAGAGATTTAAATCAGATCCTAAATCTGATCTCTGCAATTCTGGTTTCATTTTGAGTCTTTTTCTAATTCTCTTGTACCAACTAGCCTCAAGAAGTTTGTGCTGGAAAATCCTCTTGTGAATATATGTCTGACTAGTGGTGCCCTAGTCACATATTTAATATGTGTGACTATAAATGTGTGTTTGATTAGCTGCAGATGTCTGCAACATTAAGGAGAGTGGACGGCGGTGTGTGGTGAGCAGGAGTGATTCTTCTCCACAGGCAGGGAACCATTCTTCAGAGCTACTGTGAGGAAATCTCTCTTCTTTTCCTTCCCTATGGGCTTTAGGAAACACTTGAGCTCCTTTTCTTCTAAGGATCTCCACTGTACCTTCATCCTTCTGTTCATTACACGGAAGTTTGGGAGTTGCTTTGTTGAAGTGCAATGAAGGGCTATCATTTCATAGAAAAAATACAGACCTGGGCTAACTTTGTATTTTATAATCATGTATATTCTAGCAAGGTATCTATCACAGCATTTTTATTTTTATTTTAAAAATAAAATGATAATAGTTTGTAAGATAATAACCTGGACAGATACTCTTCTAGTGCTGTCTAGCTGCAGAGCTGCTGTATTGCAACCTAGTGCAAGGAACTGCCCGGAAAGAGCAAGAAAAGGGAYTTGTGTCTGACTGAATGGGAGCAGAGAAGGGGAAAGCAGCAGATGGAAACTGGCTCAGGTTGGTTGGGGAAGGGCCAGGGACAGACCCCAGCTGCGCTGTGGAGCTTCACTGCTCAGTCCATTAAGCTCTGTAGGCCCGGGAGTCAGCTCTAACTGCTAATCCTTGCTTCAGAAGGTATTCAAGGGCTTTCAGGCTACTGCACTCTGGCAGCTTCAGAAAACCACCTTTGAAAAGCCAGCAGAGCAGGCTGGAGTGGTGGTTAAAGAGCTCTTCGAAGGGCAGGGAAGCCGGCACAGCAGTGATGTTGAGCAACGTCACTTCCATGGGGCCTTTCACAAACCCGCAGCCATCTGCCATGAGCCTGTGTCCCCACTGGACTCACACTGAGTCCGCTCCTCATTGCCTGCCTTTCAGAGAGCATTCGGTCCTCTCGCTCTCCTAGCTTCCCAGTTATATTTGCTCTGCATCTGCCCCACCTGTAATACCCAAACAGGAAGAATTTGTTAGACTAGATTTAAAATGGGACGCRCTTGCACTTCCTCGTAGCAGCACAGATACTGAAAAGCAGAGATACTCTAAATAAAAAGGACACTCACACCCTTAGAAAATATGTTATTCGGTCCCTGCAGTTGCTGCATTGCCAGGACATGTGAGGAATAGAAAGAAGAGGAAGGCTGAACTCATGGTTACAGCAGGCGAATGCTGAGGAACTAAATCTCCTGCCTGCTGGTTCCTGTGTGAGGTTAAGCAAGCCAGATAATCCCAAATTTGTACAGGTCGCCACTAATGACATGTTCCCCATTTTCTCTGTATCTGTGACTTCAGACGWGAGGCCTGATTTGCAGAAGTCTGAGTCTCACTGCAACCAGAGTCAGTGGATTTGTTCCTGTGTACAGCTGAAGTCCTAGATAACGCTAAGCACTCAAGAGTGAGGGGGGAAAGGGGCATCTCAGCTGGGTACTTACTGTAATGATTCCACGTTTGAGTTCCTTCTCCACAAAATAAATGTAACAGGGCCTCCTTGTCACACAGTGTTCTGCAAATAAATCAAATGCTCCTTGTGGAATACTTAGATACCACAGATATAGAAAGCTATTTTGTCTCAAGATTGGAGTTTTGATATTATGCTGCCTGTAACAAAAGAGATTTCTGTACACTGTGCAGCAACACAAGTGAGCTACATCAGTGCTCACTCAGTCCTTGCCCATGTTGTGCACTACTCTTTCCACTGTACTAAGCAATAATCCGTATTAAAATGTGGTAAAGTTGTTATGGAAGGACATAATGTGGTCCTGTTTTACTGTTTCATTTTTATCTTAATAACAACATTGATTTGCATTGCCATACAGATTTTTTTTWAAATTTTTTTTTCTCTAATTTCCTGAGATACAAAGACAATGTGAGATGAGAGTTACATATTYTCATATATTATTTATCAGCTGTACAAATAAGTATTCTGTAGGTGTTCTTTAATTATACTGATACAAACTATTTGCTTTCCATGACTGCACATTGTACTGCAGAGAAATATGACTTGTTGTGTTAGTGAGTATTGTTGATATAGCTGAAACAACATGATTCTTATTTGAATAAATGTTTTGTCTTCAGACATTTTTCTGCTATTTCACCTCTATTGTGTTATTTTTCTAATCCAATCTTTTTGTTTGTTTGTTTTTTCCTTTTAGAAATCCTTGGAAAAGTGTTTTGAAGCCTCTCTCACCACAGTTTCCCTTCTCAGAATTGTACTGCCAAAATGAGTGTAAGCAATTATGTAATTGATAAACAACTAATAAACGAATAAATCAATTAATATGGAAGTTCATGCTTTGTGTGCCTGCTGGTCCAAGAATGCCTTATTATTGGAAGTAACTGGCTAATAGCACATTTCTTACAGCAGAGTTCAGTGGCAACGCACCCTGTTACTTTGGGTTGCACTCAGTCTGGCCACAGCCCCAGCGCCTGCAGTGTAAGGACCTGTTTTTCAGGATGGCCACCCTCAATTACCTGTCTAGCTGAGAAGGGAGAAGTAATCATTTGCGGGGGTTGATTCATTCAACCTTTTTCTTAAGACTTCTGTATTAGTATGAAATGAATAACATTCTAGACTGGTCTGTTCCCCTCCATTCTAAAAGAAGCCTAGGCCCGTACCTCAGATGCATGTCAGCATGTCAGGTGCAGACATTCGCACTACATACTGCCCCGTGATGGCAGAGAAATCTTTTTAGCACAGTGTATTTAAATATGCTATTTTTGAGCCATGCCAAAAGATCATCCCCATGTTTATATTTTCAAATTAATTTGAAATCCTCCAGAGTATTAAATTCATTTGTACTTTGGGAGCTGAGGGATGAAAGGACCTTCTCATGTATTTTATACCATGTGATGGTATAAAATGGAGGGGACAACAATGCTGCAGGTTGTCTGAGATGAGCCTGCCATAGGCTTGAAGTGCAGAGGTGGGAAAGATTGTGCAGATGGATGACAGTTTCCATAAATGTCACTTGCATTGCAAATTAGGAAGCATTTAATGATTTTATTTTTTCCAAAAAGTACATTTTTTCCAAAGCTACTAGTACCTTGTACAACTTTGTTACTTATTATTTTTCTACCTTATAGAAAYTGCAGAAAGTGATGCTAGCAATTAAGTAGTTAACTGGTGATCATCTTTTTTCTTACAGGCAGAGCCTAATATCTCGGATTACATTTATGAGGAAGACCTAATTACAGAACCGTGTTCTAAGACGGAAGTCAGAAACTTCACAAAAGTATTTCTGCCAGTTGCATATTCGTTGATTTGTGTCATCGGCCTAGTTGGTAACATCTTTGTAGTGATGACTTTTACTTTATATGAAAGAACCAAGTCCATGACGGACGTATACCTCCTCAACATGGCAATTGCAGATATCCTGTTTGTTCTCACTCTCCCACTATGGGCAGTGAATTATGCTGCTGACACATGGATTTTCAGCGATTTCATTTGCAAAATGAGCAGAGGTATCTACGCAATCAACTTCAACTGCGGCATGCTGCTTTTGACCTTCATCAGTGTGGACCGCTACATAGCTATTGTACAGGCAACAAAGTCATTTAAACTCAGGACAAGAATGTTAACATACAGTAAACTGATTTGTTTGATTGTATGGATAGCATCAATTTTGATTTCCACTTCCTCTTTCCTATACAGTAAAAGTTACACCTTCTCTATCAATGAAACCAAAGAAATCTGTGATCACAGTTACGACAAATCTCCCGACAGCATAACGCAGAAATTAGTGCTGCTGATTCTACAGTTTGGATTTGGCTTTTTTATCCCTTTTGTTTTCATGATTTTTTGCTACACGTTCATTATCAAATCCTTGCAACAAACACAAAATTCAAAAAGAAACAAAGCAATCCGTGTGATTGTAATTATTGTAGTTGTTTTCTTGGTTTGYCAGGTACCCCATAACATCATTCTTCTCATAACAGCCACAAATCTGGGCAAGATGGACAAATCTTGTGACAGTGAAAAGAAAATGGCATATGCAAAATACACCACAGAAGCCATCGCRTTCTTACACTGTTGCTTGAATCCCGTGCTCTACGCATTCATTGGAGTGAAGTTCCGAAGCTACTTTGTGAAGATAATGAAAGATCTGCGGTGCATGAGATACAAGAAATACAACAGCCGAAGCTCAAGGACAAATTCTGATACTTACCATTCAAGACAAACTAGTGAAATTCTGAGCGAAAATGCATCTTCTTTTACTATCTAAAACAATTTGAACCATGTTATTGTTGAAAGATTCTGCTCTCTGAGCAACCCAGACGAGTCTCACAGTGCGTACCATAACCAGCCATTTGTTAACAGCTCTGCACCCCAACGCGGAGCTCCCAGGACCCACAGCTTCTTTCAATAAAATAATATAAACCAAAGGCCAACACTGTCCTTGAAAATCTCAAATCTTATTTCCCTGACATTCCTATTCTTCTAAGGTACAAACACTCAGAGTTGTCAGGAGAGTGAAGCTGATAAAGTAACACTCCTCCTTTTGAGCACTGCCTCCAAARTACTAAATAAATGAATCAGGTTGTGGCCAGGCTCATTCTGCTTATATTTAGGTTGTTGCTGTTGATTATTTATGCCCAATTGTCCTGTTTAAGTAGAAGTCTCCATTCTGCTTGTGTTGTAGATACCTTGTACTAACCTAAACGGATGACATTTTGGGCAAAGCATGGCAAGAAAAGCTAACGCAGAAAAATGAAGAAACTGGCATAGCTGGACTTACATTTGGAGTCTCATAAATCTGTGCCCAGGCCTATGCTCCAGCTGCTCATCAGATGCCTCAAAACGGAGCTGCACAAGCATACACCAAGGCTGAGGCTGACCAAAATCAACAGTGACTTGTCCACTAAGGGAAGATTATAAAAAAAAAAAAAAAGAGAATTATGAAAATAAGCAGAACACTGAAACATTCACAGGAAGATTTTCTGATAGCTACTCAGATTATCTGCTGAACGAAGAACAGAGCTTTATTTGAGAGATTCTGCCTTTCATTTAGCACTGAATTCAGATCTTGGAATTCACTGAAGCTGATTACTTTGCGAAAATATCCCTATGAGATATTGACTCTTTCTAGCTGAAATTCGCACAACTTCTTTAGAAGTAGACAAGCTGAAGAACTGTGATTATTCACATTCCAATACTTCTTATTTGCCACTAGATCAGTAACAAAACCTGATGCATTTCTTCATATTTAGCAACCATTAACAAAGTTTCCTAAGGAGTGGATTTGTAACATAAAAAGACCTATGTGAAATTTATCCTATCAACTTCAAAAATTGAGGACAATATCTAAAATAAGAGTGAAGTGTAACTTAATTCAGCCAGATTTCTACCAGACTTGTCAGCATTTGTTTCACAATGAACCAAGGAATATTTATAATAAATGAAAGAAAAAATTACCCAGTCATGACTTTTTGGCAAAGATAAATAWTTTTTTTTWAAAAAAMCCACACAAGGACACCCTCAAAACAGTCTCTGCAGAACCTGTTCTCCAGCAGAGATGGGAATAGTGATCTAGTTGACCACCACTCCTGCTCACTGAGTGAGCTTCACAGTATTTTAATCAYGATGTCATGGAGCAACCTGCACTACTGAGAAACTCAACCTCCCACCACCTTGAAGAAGGTGTCGAGAACATCTACAAAGATGATCTAGACAGGAGTAGGAGCAGATTCTCTTCCAAGAGCTGGAGGGCAAAGCACCAGGACAGAGTAGAGGAGGACAGCGTCGCTGCTACCATCTGCAGTCAGCCAAAGTACCAGTCTTGTGGAGTTTCCTTGTGACAAGAGTGTGAGTTTAGTGTCCAGACTTGCTATTTTGTGGCATTCTCCATTTTAAAAGCAGTSTAAACTAACACAATTTTGCAGCTTGCAGTTTGCCTTGGATTTTTTTATTTTTATTTTTGAATTTGTGACTGACAGGAGAAAGGACTTTGGACCAGAAAGTGTCTCTTCCAGTGGCAATGAAAATGGCCAAGAACAGGAATGCCGGAGCTGAAGAACACTTCAGGATATGACACAGCATGAAACTTGTGCTGTTTTTGCTGGTGCAATCCATCCTTGTTTACAGTGCAGTGTGAAGTTTTTTTAATATTAATGCCAGGTATGATAAAGTTCATATATATAATTTTCATTAAGGATAGTAACTTAGGCAAAAATACACACAATTATATACAGCGTGCATTTGCTGTACCTAGCACTGATGATTTTCTGGAAGAGAGTTCATCAAATAAAAATATAACCGACTGAATAAAGCTAAAAAGTCAGATTGTAATTATATTGATTTTAAATATCTCAGAAAAGGGTTTCTTGCTACACATATTAMCTTGAAAAACTTACTATGTGTGTTGCCTTGCAAATTCTCTTGTCTRGTGCAAAATCTCTTTTACTCCAACTACTTTAGCATCTGTCCCTGTGAAACTTGGATGTGAGAGTTGATGCCATGTATTGTTGTACATGGAATGGGAAAAATATCACTGAGGTAGAGAAAATTCTGTGTGCTTTGGTTAAAGAATTGATCCAATATCAAGATCTTAAGGCTGAGAGAGCTGGGCCTGTTCAGCCTGGAGAAGAGAAGGCTGAGGGGGGACCTGATCAGTGTCTGTAAATACCTCAAGGGAGGCAGTGAGGAGGAGGGGCGGCCTCTTTTCAGTGGTGGCCAGTGATCGGACTAGAGGAAACGGCCACAAGCTGAGGCACCAAAAGTTCCACGGAACTTGAGAAAACACTTTTTGACAGTGAGGGTGACAGAGCCCTGGAACAGGCTGCCCAGGGAGGTTGTGGAGTCTCCTTCTCTGGAGATCTTTAAAACCCACTTGGACGCAGCCCTGTGCCATGTGCTCTAGGTGACCCTGCGTGAGCAGGGGGGTTGGACTCGATGACCTCTGAGGTCCCTTCCAACCTTAAGGATTCTATGATTCTATAAGTCTATGATCTTGCTAAAAATCCTTTGAGCTGCCCCTCGAGGTGCCTCTGAAACCCCAGTCAGCCCTAAACAACCTGCCTCTGGGAGAAATGGGGGTGAAAGGGTGCAAGTGACTCATGAAGAGCCGCTCAGACAGGAGAGCTCATGCTCAGCAAGCAGCTTTCAGCAACGCAGTTGATATCCATACAGTTTTTATGTGAGTTTCACAGGCAGTTACAGTACAAAGGTATGAGTTGTTAAATTTAATACTATGCCTTTTTGCATTTTTTGTGAAATCTGCTCCCAGATAAAAGAGATCCAGTTCCGCATTCCCCTTGAATCCAACTGCTAGACACTTGGCAGAAGGTAACCATATGGGCAGGCTGGCTGGCCAGTGCTGCTGATAGGCAGCATTTTGTCATTTATTGAGTGACCRTGTCAGTGGAACAAGGATGAGCTAGGGTTGGTGTTGGAAGTTCAGGGAAATAAAATAACTCGAATTTATAGGAAATTAGGCATTGTTTTTACTGCTCTCGGAAGAACTTTTTGGGGGAGCTTGTTATGGATACTGCTCTTTATTAAAATTCTTCAAGGTAGGTATGCTGTACACTGAGCAGATAATGCAAGGCATAATTTTCTTTCTTTGTTGCATTCATTTCATCAGTTATTTTTGAAGAACAAGCAAGTTGATTTTAGAAGGGTCTTCATTTGCTTGGAGTTTAAAGAGAGGAGGATGCCTGCAGTGTTGCATCATGGCACATGCAAAGAAGATGCTGCTGGTAAGCTACGACTTAATATCCTCCTCCAGACGGAGGCAGTGACGGCGTGGTGGTGCTGTAGGTACAAACTCCTCGCCTGCTAGTGGATTCTATTCTGCTTGGGACTGGTCCGTGGCATCCTTGCTTGACACTATCCTTTCAAACAGGGATGTTTCTTTGGATTGACAACTTTATATTTCAATGTACAATTCATATTTTTAATGAAAACATCATCTACTACTTGTTTTCAATGTCTTTGAATTAAAATATGTATCCTCAATTACTGCATTGTCAGTTTGATCTATTTGTAAGGCAAAGATAAACCAATAGAGTTAATATTCTTCTATTGCAGGTTTTTTTAAGCTCTTACCTACACAGTCGTGGAATAGCTTAGCCATTCCTAAATATATATTTTAGTTAATACAAGCTAATATAAATAATACCTATTAAATCTGTAGCAATTGGAATTTATTTATTAGCCTACGATTTGTTGGGGAGTAGGAGAAGTAGGGAACCCTTAGTTCCCTCCATCAGAAAGAGCTTATCTAGGGAACAGAGAATACATAGAGATCTTGCTGATTAAAATCAACTGTGGATGACCTATTGTTTTCAGTAGAAAGCCTGGTAGTTGGCATTTGAAGATTTTGTACTGGGTTTTGTCTTTTTTTTAAGAGTTTTTACTAAAATAAAATGTATTGTTGTTGGGAGGTATAAATGAAAGATATATGTTTGTTATAAATTGTGCGAAGTGAATTATAGTTTAATCCTCTTTCATAAAACTTTAACAGGAAAATATAATGCTTTTCTATTTTTTTCTCTTGTTTGGATTCCATTCATAACAACAGAGGTAAAAAATAACACAATTTTAGAGAGATTTCTTTCCAATTTATAGTATTATCAGGTCAGTGAGTATATGTTAGTTTTACATCTCATCAGCAAACAGTTCATAATGAAGCACAACATCGGTAGGAATGTGGTAGTTAAAATATAAGTGGAAAACTCATTATACATCAGTTATACTGGTGTATGCTAAATACATTTATGTTAATTTGATGTAAGCACAATATATATTAATGAAAGTATTAGGTACTCTGGGAGTTTCATAAACTCAGGATTTTGTTACAGACTTATCTACGCAGCAAAAAAAAATCTATTTTTCCTTCACTAACCTTGTTTCTTGTTCTTGTCCTAGACTGCACACCAGATTTAAACTGTATTCCTTACAAAATATTCCTAACAGTTTTTGCTGTCAACAGAGTCTTCTGCATTGACAGGGCTCTGTATAAATGTCTATTTTTGTTGTCATTTCAATTTAAAATATTTTATTGATGCAAAAACACAAAAAAATAATCTTCAGATGGCTTTACTGCTCTGACTACAGGTTGACTTTTTGTAATAATCATGCCATATTGCAGAAAAGTGTTAAATTGTGTAATGCTATCACTAAATTTTCAAAATATTGAACATACAAAATCATGACCGTTAGTTTGAGCTGTTTTTTAACTTCCACATACTCTAAACATTTCAAAATTTTTGTAAAGTGTGGTAG